AATATTACAGACACCCATATCTTACTAATCACAATCAGATTAAAATGCATTCTCTGCTGGTTTTTAATTTTCCAAATTTGGACATTTTTAGACTACTAACATGAAATTACCTTGAAGTATATAAATATTTAAGCAGGGATAGTTTACCTTTTCTGGTGGGTGTATAATAAACAGTTTAACCATCATCTATATACAGGCTGTTTTGTTCTCCATCTAAAGAGACAATCACCTTTTATCCTTTCCCTTTTTTCTTCATTTCAGTGCTATTAGGAAACTATTCACAAGTGCAACCCCGAACAATACTATGCAGTAATTATGACTAGATGACAAAGAGATGTGAACAATTACTGAGCCCATTTTGAAACCCTACACTAATAAAGTCATTAGATGCTGCCCTTGCCATGAGCCTTCTAAAAGCTTCTGAAGTTACAAGAACACACGGCATTGTTCGTTAGGACAATCGCTGCTGGCAGAATGCAAACCTTGAGTTAAACCATGCTGCAAATTGATCTTGACATTCTGTTAAGACCGCCACTAAAATCAAAAGCAAAGGAGAAAAGGAGAAAATGAGCGGGTGGGATGTAATCATGGAACAGAAGGGTTCCCTCCTCACCTTCTTTCCTCTTCCTCCTCAAAACAAACCATACAGAAAATGACAAACTCGCCTGGTGTTTGAGAACCTTTATTTTTAAAACATTAATTAGACTTTTGACCTGTTTTTATTGACTGGCACTGTATTGCTATTAAAGTAAATTAAATAAAATATTGCAAAATACAATAGAAAAGGTTTTCACACTGTTCTGTGAAACCTGTAAAGGATTTAGTGCCCAAAGAACACGTCCAACAGTTTTGCAAACAACATATACAGAATCTACGGTCACTCCTGAAGAGGCAGCGAGAAATTAACTCCCCAAGTCCAGCTCTCACAGACCCCACACCTGCAATATATTTGCTGAAGGATCAAATAGGATTGGGGAGCTGGAGTAATATGGTCAACTGGTCTTCATCCAGGCATGCATCATTCAGTAGGTTCATATTAAGGGTCAGCAACTGTGAATATGGCTAATTACTTGATGACGGAAATTGCAGGTGAAGACAACCTGCTGCTGAGAAGTGCTTTAGTCAATTAACTCTTTCCTAAGCTTAAGCAAAGAGAAAAACTATAATTTGAACATTAAAACTAACAAGTACCTGTCATCAGAGCTGAGAAAAGTTGGCAACACCTTGAAATACAGCGCCCAAGGGCAACGATATCAAAAGCTAAAAAGCTGCAACAGACATTCGAGTCACTCTTTTACGGTTTTGGCATTGATTTGCTTGGCCAACCTTAAGTACCTTGGAAATCTGTTAATACTATGCATAACTTATGTTTGTAAATGCTGTGTGTACAAATCTAAGGATATGTGTGCGTGTGTAGGTATATACATATGCATATATATTAACTGTATATCTGTCCTGGATACAAATATATTGTATCAATGTGTATTAACGAACCAGCAAAAATACTCAGGCATGTGCTTGCACACATATATATACACACTTATATACACCTCCCATACACACACACATAATTATATTAGAATAATGGTATTTAGTCAACTCTTTGAAGTCAGAAAGTGCCAGAACTATAGCTGCGCATGTCTGGCTCTCCTGCTTATCCATTCCACAACCTCTCTGGAAACCTGAAGAATCACTTAGACCACGCGATGGCCCAGTGCAGCTGGTGAGCTGCTGCAGCTGCTTGCTCAGACCAAAAGGTAGGGCCAGAGTTGTCAACACCACTACTGTCAAACACCACCACTGCTGCCCTGACACCTCCCGTAAGTGCATTTCTGCTGTTTAGAGTGGCATGGTAGCAAATCTCCATATCAAACAAGGGAAGGTGAACAGCGGTTTTTAAGCTTATGATTCACCCCAAATTGAATGGAATATAGCAAGAAAGTGAAAGATATACCTGTAGCTTTGTGGTTTGGGGTTTTTTTTGTTGATTTTTGGGTTTTGTAGGTTTTTTTTCCTTTGACGAAGGACAACACAAATTACAAGAATATTCCAAACAGTTGCTCAGTAAAGTCTAAACTATAGGTGACAAAGCTTTCACATAGATTCCTTAACAGTATTATAAAAATGCCATGTTATTTTCCTAAATGAAGGCTAATTATTTTATTATTTTGTGCCTTTTATTATGTTTTTTTAATCTAGTAATGAAACTGCTAACAGTTACTCTGGCACTTGCACACAGCATTTTACTTCTAGTCCTACCTACAGAACTCTCTTCACTGTTGCAACAGGTGTTGAAGAATAAGATTGAAAGATTCCAGCTGACAAGTGCACAGTGTACAGTAATGCAGGATTCAAAGCATATCCCTACATCAGTATCAACAAAAATGACAAGATTTTGGAGCTGGTTTTGTTATACAGTGCTCAGGATGGACCCCCATTTCATTAACGAGAAAACCAGAAACTACCATTAGGACTGTTTTTGGAACAGAATGACATCCATAGATGTCAGAAAGAGGACAGCAAAGAGCAAGAAAAAAAATCAGAATATTCAAGATTTTTTGGCTTATATGAAGAAAGTATTTATATCTGTTTGAATTTATTCATGCCATGCTACAGTACTGAAAACCTGTCTTTTACTACTGACATTGAGGTGTCCCTATTGATTGCTGTAAATAAAGTGGACCTGATTTCTCTGCCTTCCCACCCTGGCTTTTCCACTAATGGAATTGTAACAGCACAAATAAGTTGCTCTTGGGCTACACCAGCAGGCAAAAAGTAGTTCCTTCTGTTGTTGCCATTGTCTCCTCACCATTCAAATAAAAAGCTACGTGCAACTGTATTCATAGGGATACAGAACAGAACAGGCTCCAAGACCACTGTCGTTGTGTCACATAATGAAGGGTAGTAATTAAACAGAGGTACTGAGTATTTATTTATGGGAATGCCCACAGTGCATTGGCACTTTCCAAAGGGAGAAGGAAGCATCATGCCCCCTCTGAAGAAATCACAGCTTAAGGAACAGGATGTGACACTAAACACAAATGAGAAATTATTCTAATTCGAGCCAGCATGCCTTGTTTACCCCTTACTATTTTTGACCTCACTGTTAATATGACAGTTTCTTTGTTGTTGTTAATAGAAAGCAAAAAATGAAGGCTTAAAAACCCTATCGTACTGCACAATCGGTGACTAGGTTCATTGAGAATAGCTATAAAGCCTTAAACAAGCCCTCTATTTTGTGTTTTAAGAAGTGTCATAAGGAGTTAATAGGACACAGCTGTACAGGCTCTTTCTAATAAGCAGCTTCTGTCGCTTTGGTCACCACAGGTGTCTCTGTAACCTGCAAACTCTTATTACTAGTGTATCAAAGTTGTGCTACTTAATAGATTTCTTTAGTAAAACACAACAAAGCAATTACATGGCTGTTGATCGTCAGTCATAAAAAACCCCCTCAAACACAGTTTTTCAAAAGAAACTACACTGCAATTTTTTGTCATTGTAAAATAAAAGAAACTAGAGAATTAAATAGAAAAGCGAACAATAGAACAGCAGGTAGTCAACTGAACTTAGCCACTACAGATGGTTTAGAAATAGTGTTTCCTTCTACACCAACTTGTGGGATAAAAGGAGGAGGCTCCTTACTGCCCATGAATGGCAATACCAAAAGACTTAAGCAACTTTCCAGTCTATGTATTTAGTCCCATGAAAGAACCTAGATGTTTCTTTTTCCCTCTCTCTTTTCTTTTTTAAAAAACTTTCTGGTTTTGTGACTGCTTTTTTCCATAATCTTTAACTCTTCTCTAGAATAACTTAAACCAGAAACATAGCTGCTGATTCGTCCAACGACAAAATGCAGAAGGTCGAGAGACGAATTCCTGTGAAACACACGTGTCATGTAAAAAGCGTATTAGAGAAAGAGATCGTTCTGTTCTCCATGCCCACTTTCAGTACAGAAATATTAACTATAATTTACGTATTTAAGAATAGGAGTGCATTAATGCTCTATTCTAGCAAGCCACAACAGAAAGAAACATACATATGTACTTTCAATTGTTCAATAATCAATGGAATTGTGTAAAAAAGTGGCAACCTTATCCCAGCCCATATGACTGTTGCATCTTTTGTTCAAAAGTTAGAATATCTCTCATTATAGTAACATATGCAAGACATTATCCTGGCAAGCAGTCGTCTTCTGTGTAAATAAAGGTCATGAAATAAGGTCCAAGTTAGAAAATCAAACAAGTCTGATTTCTAAATATAACAACTATAATCCTAAAATCATTATTTTCAATAGATTAAGATCAACTGATAAATAACTAAAGGAGAGAGGTCTTTATATAAAGATAAGAAAATTTGTTGGTAACACACAAAGGATGCAGAGGGAGGTAGAAACTACAGTTTTTTAATTTCTTTACTCATCAGCAAAATGATGGCCTCTAAGACATAGGATGACTTTTACCAAATTAAACCTATCACAGTATCTGAACATTACCAAAGGAATGTTCTGTAAGAAGACTGTAGTTCAAAAAAGTTCACATGAATTGCAAGCTTCTAATTTTTTGCATAATCTGGTTTTAATATTATTTTATCACATGAATGTTATTTTTTTAATAAGACTTTAATTAACCACAGTAGTTATTATGTCAGAAAGTTCTAATGCAGTTACACCTATGTATATATAATCAGTGTCACATAATATTATGGCAATGCAAAACTGTAAAGACACGTTCCTAGAACTATGTTTGCAGAAGAAACTCGAAAAAAAAGAAATAATTTCTTCAACTATTTTTTCCTGCACAGGAATAAGAAGTGACTTCGTAATGAAAACAAGGATGGTCCAATTCTCAGTGACGTCAGCCAGCACAGCTTCATTGATCAGCTAAGAAAGAGCATGAAGTTTTTAGTTCAAACAGATATCAAGCAACAAAAGATTTGATACACAGAGATAAGGGTCTTCCTTGAGAGAAAAGCTGCTCCGCTCACAGTCCAAAGAGTCTTACCTTGCTCTGTTTGCTTCTTTTGTCATGTCCCATGCCCAGGTTATGAAGTTCTGACTCAGATAGGAGACAATAGATTCAGCACAAAGCATTTGTGAGCAGAAGACGTTGGTTAGTACACTTTCATCATGGTGGAGGTAGATAGCAAGAAGCTTTCTCTGAAAAGACACAAGAAAAGATCAGTGAAAACTTCCTCAGTCTATTTAGTAATTTAAAATTACTGCTGCAGATTTGTGTGTTAGTACACCCTATGGTGTTTATTGAGGGTGCCAAGTATCTTAACATGCACACACAGGGGAAAAAAATACCAGTAGCTTTCAAGTCAAACGGTCCATCCCTCCAAATCTATAAATCTTCTCAATGCTTCCAAATATTTTATTTAGGGTACCAAAACATGATATGTTATATGCTTGGAACATGAAAATAACAATATTTGAATGAAAACCAAAAACCTTATTAAGACTTAGCTTAAGAAACTTTTTTGGCTTGCTGCCCAATAAAGATAACATTTTGAACAATTCCCTGAGCCAGGAACACACCTCTTGACACAACAGCATCTACGATACAGAACAATTACAAACCACCTTAAAAAACAACAGTGTATTGCTATCAACCCATCTGTAGCCAAATAAAGAGGAATATGAGTAAGTAACAAGACAGCTGCCTGCAGTCCCAAAGCCTGCGATGCTACATGCTGCATGTTTTGGCAGCTCTCCATCCAGCCGTATGATGTGGGGAGGCCCACAGCACATCAGCCTCTCACCTACTTCGTAAGTTGATGTGTAGCTGGTCAAAAGGCCATGTGTCAGCCCACCTGGCTACATCTCTTGTGGAGAGGAGCAACGTAGTCGCCCCAGCAGCACTGTGAATGTGTAAGATGCAATGGAAGGGGGATGGGAGACATGGATCAAGTCCCCCATTGGGTTTGTGAATGCTGATATATCTCATCATAGTTACCACGTTATTGAAGACCAGATGTTGAGGATGGTGTTTGTGGCCTCTTGAAAAAAAATATTCTGTGCCATGTTCTTCTGAAACCCTATCAAGTAATACTTGAGCATAGAACTGTGCTGTGTCTCCATGACACTCTCAGACCACCTTTTGGAAAGTGAGTCTATGTGTACATAAAGACAGAAATCAGACTGAGAAAAACATAGGGAAACTATGAGCTAGTTAAGGACCATGATCCTATATCTGGTATTCAATGAATTATAAATACCATTCAGAAAATTACAACTTTTCATTACTCCATACCCACATATATTACTTAATTTATTTTAAAACCCTACTTGAACATATTTGCTGAGACAATATGGTAAATGCTATTTTCAGACTTTTATTTAAAGTAGTTTCAAATCTCTTCATCAGAAGTAACACTGAACACTAGATATTGATGTGTATTGATATAGCAAGACATGGGATGCAATTTTGAGACAAGCTGTCTGTGTAAAAAAACCTGTATGGCTATCACCTCATATGCCGGCTTTGGACAAAACTTAATGACTGTTTATAAAAAGAAGAATACATTTGAACATTAGACTTTGGGAAAGGGATCAGTAATTTGCATTAATGTTTGTCTAATTTAATTTAAATGTTCTTCAGAACCACATACACATGTGCTAGGAAGGGCCATTAATAAGCCCAACATGCAGAGATCCATATAAGTGCAGCCAACAATGTTGACTGAAACTAAACTTGAAAATCCAGGGCACTGATGCACAATATCAAGCAATGAAACAGCATTTCTGTGGTGATATTTAATTTAAAAAGAAGAAAGAGGCAGGGGAAGATCAGGCACTGTCTGTTTTTGAGGATCAGCCATTCTGCATTTCAAAGCGTCGATCCCTGCAATATCCAGGTTACTGTGCTAGAATCTCGACTATTATATAGCAGTTGTAAGAGAGGGAGGGCAAAGATGTGTTTACTCAGTGATTAGGGCCTTAGAATAAGCCTCTAGCTCCTAGAGAGACAGCTCACCACTTATTCATTTGGACCAATTCACAAAGCCCAGAAAGATTAAACATCCATGCTGAGAAGACAAGCGAATGCAGACGGTGAAAAAGAAATAAAAATTCTTTAAAAACTCTGAGATGACTTCATTATTTTTTCCACAAGGAAACTTTAGGAAAGTGTTTAGTTAGAGAAAAACCCACATTGACCTCTCTCTAAACCCTTAATCTTTCCTTTGTGGTGGCACTGCTTTGTGGTAAGCGGATGGCTTTGCTCTCCTCTTTTCACTGGCAGCGGATAGAAAAAAAGGCTCTTGAGAAACACTTTTACTTCCAAAGAAACAACCCCATGAAACTGTTAAATATGAGATTCCATACAACGGAATGTTTCAAAATATGTACAGTTTTAGGCTTAAAGATTTAGGGACAAATTTTAGTAAACAGAACGGGCACTAACACAATAGATGTTTACACTGAGCTACTTTACAAGTGAATGTAATTTTTGTTGCATCAACAAATCTCACCATGCTAAGGCTAAACTCCATCACATATGAAAGACTGAACTTGTGTCTGATAATTCATCCAAAATGTTAAGGTCAGGCATAGGCATACAGCTAGGACAAATGAAAAGAGGTAGCAGGAGGAACTGAAGTGCTGAAAAATGATTCTGCAAAATCTTAGTGGAAGCCAGGGATGTTTTTTCCTTGGAAAAATGCATTACTGCAAAAGGCTCACAGCTTGGAGGTTGTTGTTGCTGTTGTGTGGTTTGATGGTTTTGGGTTTTTTTTGTTTTGTGGGTTGGCTTTTGGTTTTGTTTTGTTTTGTTTTCACTAACCCATGGTAGTATATATTTATAAGCAGGTTTTTGTTGTTTTTATTTCAAGCCTTTGAAAAATCAGAGTAAATTCTAGGATTCTATAATGAATAATACTGGAAATTTTTTAGTCAATACTAATAAAAAAGGCTTACTAAACTGTTGAACAGTCTTGAGTTCCATAAAAGAAGCCTACTAATGGAGCACTAGTCTGCTCTGTGTTGGATATCTCAAAAATATGACGACTCAGGGGTTATATACTTCGCATAAAATTTTAACCAAGAAAAAAAATCCAATGGGAAAGAACTTTTACTAGTCCCTGTGAAGGTATGGGATACTGAAAAGGTTCTAAGTACTGAGTAGCTGATGGACTTCCAAAGGCCTTAGGACTTCAGGAACTTAAGCCACCAAGAGATGTATTTTTCAGAGTATGTGGATGCTGAAGACCAGGCAGTCATACATGTGAATTTTCAGAAGGGGCCCAGATTTACAAACATACTCGGGAGTGTAAGTCTCATCAACGTCAGTAAGACTTAAGGTCCTAAAAGCTTGAACTCCAAGCTCCAGGTTTCATTCCATTTCAGAGGAAAAAGGGCCCTGAGAAAGAGGTGCTAACTGTTTTCAGCATCTTGGCTATCTAAATACCTTAAAAAATCCAGACCTCAAGCATTTTTTTCTGCAACCTCTGCTGCGTTCAGACTGCATGAGACTCAGCTGTGCCTCTGCTCCCTTGCCATACACCCACTGCATGTATTTGCAGTGAAGCACTGCAGCCCTCTCCTGCCTGATTCTGATCTGTTGATGGAATCTGCCTGGCACGTGGCACCCTGGAAGGAAACGTGGGCTGCAGATGGACACTGCACTGCAGCAGGGCAGTCCCCTCAGAGGCACAGTCCTGCCAGCTGTAGCCTTGCACCATGAAACCTCTCTGCCACACCATCCAAAGTATAGCAGCCTCCTGCCACATAAACTGATGCACCTGACCAAGAGATCTAACATGCATGTACACTCCCACACGAGACAAACACATTAAAGATCCATCCTATGTACCAAAGTGGCTATGCCATCCAGTTGGCCATTTTTGCATTTTGGAACGTCAGAAAAGTTAATGCACTTTGTACGGAATTAAAAGAAATGAAGGAAGGATTGGCACTTGAGGCAGAAAGAAACACAGATCTGCATGAGGTTGAGAGACTAAATTGATAAGAACTGAGTAATGGGATATCCAAGCTTCTTAGCCAGTTCCTAATAACATGAATAACTTAGATATCTCAGAAGAATAGCAATAGAATAGAATAGAAGCAATAGAATGAGAATAGCAATACAGTCATAAAGGTCAGCAAAAACACAGACCTGACTGGTTTTTTTGGAATCTCAGGTTCACAAGTTCAAGTAATAATTGAGACAAAAATGTTCACAATGTAACATCTGCTAGAGGCACAAAGGTTCTTTCAAGCTGGTAGACTAACAAATCAAGATCTTCATTTTTCCTTTGGGTTTTATGTAGAGAGCGCTAATTTAAATGAATAAAGGGACATATTTGTACATCTTTAGGCCTTTAAAGTGTATAGTTTGATCCACCTCTCTGAGGTGATCTTGGAGATCATATGATCAGCCTTCTTGGGCACAGCTATTCTATCACGCACAATCTTTTTTCCCTAAGCAGAATGCAAACCTTCCCTAACACCAAGGTGATCTGAACTAAACTGTACCCCACAGGTTCCTAAACTGAGAATGAGCTGATTCCTGTAATCTTCTGATCTGGTCTTTTGTAGTGTACATGGCATAAGACATCCCTAAACTAATTCCTAATTTAATCTTTCAGTAATTTTATCTTTCAGTAAAACATCCAGTCTCAAAAAAACATCAGTGACAGAGAATCCTTATGAACCATGCTAAGCTGTTCAAATGGCTAACCACTCTGCCAGGTAAAGCTGTGTTTTATTTTAAGCTTGATTTAGTCTACTTTCATCTTCCAAATATTTGATCCTATTGCACCGTTGTATCTCTGTTTCAATCAATTGAACTTGTAGCGCCATCTTACATAATGCAAAGAATATCCAGTAATTAAACCCAAACTCAAATAAGATCTACAAATCATAGGCTTTGAAAGAGGACGAAATGTAGAGTGTGGCAGACAATTTCAATAAACTTTCATTATTTAATATCAAGTACAGAGAATGCTGGAGAGAGACCCATACCCAGGACTAATCTTTCAGATATGAAGATGAAGCAGAGTAAAGGGCGTGTAGGCACACAGTAAGACTACTAAGCTGGTATGTTGTAGCAAAAATTTCTAAACAATAATTATCCACAAGTTCAGAATTAATTTAAGAATGAAAGGACAGAACTGCTAACACACACACACCAGGCAAGACTGGGAGGAAAATGCAGGTGACTAACACAGGACTTAACTGGAATTTATGTACTGACATCTACCATAGTATAGCTGCTTTACTCTTCCCGGGAACCTAAAGTTATAGAATCATAGAATCATAGAATGCTTTGGGTTGGAAGGGACCTTGAGAGATCATCGAGCCCAACCCCCCTGCAGTGAGCAGGGATTGAACCTGTGAACTTGGCGTTATTAGCACCATGCTTTAACCAACTGAGCTAACCCTGCTACTTCTATACCTGTCCTCTACAGTTTCAGCCAGACCATGCAGATTAGGGTTCAGGTTATATATGTTTAATTGTAATCTGTAAAGTACCAATTGCTCCATCTAGGACCCTGAGGCAGCTCAACTACAGATGCATTTTCAAAGCACATGTAGGATGCACAATATGATCGTGCCCCTTATAAAATGTAGGAGTAGCAATTTGACTTGATTTGAAATGTGTCTGGAGTCTAAGTAAAAGGCGGTGGTGAAGCTGTACTCCTTGACATCACTCAGCAGTACTTAGGGAATAAATGGGGAAAAAAAGATGACAGAGACTAAACCAAAAAGCCATCCTGCAATTGGGATTCAGAACAACGTCTCTCCTCTATTCAAGGTATCATCTAAAAGACAGACCTCAAATTTCTCTTCTGAGACAAAAAGACTGGAGAGTAGTCAATGCTGTTTCTATAATGTGCTCTAACAGAAATAAGAATAATTATCTCTGTGAATCCTTTTTCTGTATTAAGTTCAGCATGAACTTAATTAGCTGAAATAATAACAAGGGACAGTTTTCTAAGTTACACAGATAAAAATGATACTGCAGAAAGCCCTGTATGAAGGAATATCCTACTACCACCAGGAAAAAAAAAAGCGCTTTTATTTGAACATGCCAAATCATGGAAGGAGCGTACTTTCTTCTAAGTATTCAGGAAATAAAGTGCCCATATGTGAGAGGGATGGTGTTGCCACTAAACTGAACCTAAAAGACAGAATTCAAGGAGAACAAAAACCTGGTTCATTTTCAGTATGCAGGAATATATATTGAGGTGACAATACCAATCTGTGCTAAGAGAGATGTTTCACATATTTATTAAAAGTCAGTGGACAGAAAGGTTGAGAGAGGAGCAGGAGGTGATCTGACAGAGGTATAGAAAGATAAGAGCTCCTGAAAAGGTAAAGCAGAGGTCTTTATTCTTTCTCATAATAAAAGAGTAGCAACCACCTATAAAAAGGCAAACAAGCTCCAATAAAAGAAAATACTTTAGTATTATTCAAGTAAATAGCTCAGTGAGATTCAATACAGCAATTAAGATCCTGTATTAATAACAATACTGCCCTAAGTTAGGATAAACACCCTGATGTTTCAGAACACAAGGCACCCACAAACTGCTTTCAGTCGCAAAGAAACCTCCCCCAAATATCTTGTTTAAAATTGTCTATTGTAAGATTTCATCCGCAGCATCGCTATGATAGTGTAGCTACTTGAGCAAGAGTAAGCTTGTTCTTCGTAAACTAACATAACAGAGAAATGCTTCTTTCCAATCGGCGCAATAAGTAGAGGAAGACTTTCACAAAAGAACAACTTATTTGTTAATTTAATAAACCTCTGTCTCTCTCTTCCTGACTCAATTAAAAAAACCCTAATGAAAATATTTTCTTGTGTTATATATAAAATAAGCCTTGGAAATGAACACACAATGCCCTTAACTATCACGCTGCAGGAGGTACCTGGGGATTTCACTGCCAAGGACCAAGGACACCGGTTGTTAAAGGCAAAGCTCTGCATCTTGGCTATTGTACTTTGTGCTAAAGAGATCTACAGGTTTTAAACGAGAGCTACATTTGACCTCATTCCATCTCTCCTACCTAAAACTGGCACTATCATGGTAGCAGCTGCTTAAAGGAAAAAAGATACTCATGTATGTTAATCTTAACTATCTGTGCTGGTTTTGACTGGGATCGAGTTAATTTTTTCGATATGGGACTATGTTTTGGATTTGTGCTGAAAACAGTGTTGATAATACAGAGATGTTTTCATTATTGCTGAGCAGTGCTTACACATAGTCAAGGCCTTTTCTGCTCCTCAACCCACCCCACCAGCAAGGAGGCTGGGGGTGCACAAAAGCTGGGAGGGGACACAGCCGGGACAGCTGACCCCAACTGACCAAAGGGATATCCCACACCATACGGCGTCATGCTCAGCATATAGATCTGGGGGAAGAAGGAGGAAGGTGGGGACGTTCGGAGTTACGGCGTTTTGTCTTCCCAACTAACCGTTATGCATGATGGAGCCCTGCTTTCCTGGAGATGGCTGAACACCTGCCTCCTGATGGGAAGTAGTGAATGAATTTCTTGTTTTGCTTTGCTTGCGTGCACAGCTTTTGCTTTACCTTTTAAACTGTCTTTATCTCAGCCCACGAGTTTTCTCACTTTTACTCTTCTGATTCTCTCCACCATTCCACCTGGGGGGAGTCAGTGAGTGGCTGTGTGGGGCTTAGTTGGCAGCTGGGATTAAACCACAACTTTATCTAAAGACTTGAAATGAAAAGCTATGATAATAAAAGCTAACCAAAACATAGGTAACAAACATCTAAACTTTTTGTACAAGGTATTTCTTTTTCAAGTAACATTTTTTTAAACAACTATGAATTACCATCCTTTCCAACACATGAAAAGACGTTAAGATTTAACAGAATAACATCTATTTTCTTAAAAAGAGTTTTAACTCATAATCTGTGTTTAAAACACATGTTCTGACATAAACTAATTTTCCTAAAATAACCCAAATTAACATATTTCTGCAAAAAGGCTTCAAGTTCATATATAATGGGATTTTTTTTTGAGGGAAAAAGTATCCACAATATAGATTAGAAACATAGCTGATGGCTGTCTCACTAGACCTGAACTCCAGAGTGCACCTTCTGCTCTGGACAGCATTGAGAATTTGTCAAGAAAAGGCTAAGATCTCTGAGCACTCAAGCTGCCAAGTGCTCTCAAATTAAATCAGTTTGAAGCGGTTTTCATTAAGATGGATTGAGTGTGGCATCGTGAGAAACACTCTATCAAATGTAGTGTTTTACTTAGTGATTAAGTATATACCAGTTGATGAAGCTGCCCAAATCCTTCGTAATCCCACCACTCCAATAAACATTTAATGAGTATATAAGTTCAAAAAGCCTAGCAGAGGATTTAAACCTTCAATCTTGTTTTTATTTACTCTTGGAACTCAATTTCTCACTTCAAGTGAAGAATGCTGGTGCCTGAAGCTCATCTGTTGCCCTGGTAAAATTAAGTGCCCTCCATAGTATAAATTAGAAGACAAGACATACAGGTTGCAGTTTCTCCTAAGCTTTTTTCCTTATACGGATATAAATATTGAATTATTTTATGAAATGCAATTATAAAAATATAAAAGAATGTATCCCTTTCCTCAATTATGAATGCCAGGGGGCAGTACTGAAAAAACTTGTTTGCAATGGGAAAAAAACAGTAAAAATAAACGGTATTTATATGTTTTCTTACCTTTGTTTAAAGTCAGAATGTTACAATAAAAATAATGTCATTCCAAAGGGTAGTTGGGAGGGAGAGCTTTCAAAAATTAAGGCAATATTAGGAAAAAAAAAAAAAAAAGAAAAAAGCCACAAAAATAATACTTTCCTAAATATATAACTTTATCTTGATGAGTATCTGGTCTGAATACATTGCAAAACATTAGAAATGTAAGGCGACATGAATTTCAGATGTGCTATGTAAGTAGTATAAGTAGTACTTTGAGTATTAAAAAAATAAGTAACTGCACTGCATTAGTATCAGATTTATAGGTATTGAAAAAATATTTATGAAAGCTCCTAAGGGGCTCTCATCCATTATTATACTGATACACTGTCAACCATTTCTGATGAAATGACACAAAGTGAACTTCCTAACTCAAACACTTTTCTTGTTGAATTAATATGATTTGTTTTAAACATGCATTATGGTCCACTTTAATGAGTTATTAGAAATTAATACTTTGCCCCTGAATTATTATGTATCCATTTATGCTCTGAAATCTGCACAAAGACATGAAAATATTCACTAAACTTAGAGTGTGCGCACATGTTAAGTATGTCTTAACTTAAGCTATATAGGGTAGATTCATAACACTGCACACTGAACATAACAGCCCCTAACATAACATAGCTGTTCCTTCCAATGTGAATAACTACAGGGAGCCAAAACATTCTTCATTTTAAAATTAAATATCTATCAAGACAACAAAAAGTAAATTTAAACAGCATGATTTTCTTGTTTGTGTTTCAGCTTTATCTACACTTAATTATGCAAGGGTTTGGGTTTCTCCTTAGTGAATTCAAGTCACCAAAACTTAAATAAACTATCCCCACTCTAATTTTATTAAAATACTGATTTTAAAACTGTGCACAGAATAACAGAAACTTGAGATGTCTGGTTGGACGTGCAGAAAAACTAAATAACCAAACCTTAGTACTGGAATTTACTTGGCAGATAAAGGCAGTACAAAGGAAAAAAAGCACACAGTATTTCAGAGACCTTTCAATTTAAATTTACAATTTCATTAGCCGTCCTTCAAAGGAGTTACCAACATGCAACGTTGAACTTGTCAACCACAAGACTCGCAGCCAGTGTTATGTGGTGCTAGGACACCATTATTTCAAGAAGAAAAGGGAGATGGAGGAAAAAAAAAAAAAAGAAAAAGAGTAGCTCTGATGACTAAAGGACTCCAATAAAAATACAGCCTGAATGATTAGAAAGAATGATTTATTCACTGTAATTTCAACAACCAAGGTAAGTATTTTTAGTCAGTCAACTCAATGAGTATAGCTCTTCACAAACAATAAAACCAAGATAACTCCAAATGTAGTTTACCTTTTTAAAAATAATGATGAAACGTTTACAGCGATTTCCATTTTCCCCCCTATATTAACGTAATTTTAATATACACTTACATCTCTAGCTTTCCCATAGAAGGCTTCTTGAAAAGCAGCCTCTAATGATCCAATAAAATAAACAGGATGGCAGTCACCGTATCTATTTGAGATAAAATTTCCAATTAATAAAAAATTACAAAAATAAGTAATTTCAATATTCTGCCTCGTCATATATTCTGTAAATATAATGCATTAGCTAAACTTTTAGAAAGATGAAGTACTATGCTTCTAAATATTTCCCTTCTGTCCTTTAAAAGCCATCTGTCCGCCAACATTCAAAAGCTCAAAGTAACTAACTACTACCTTACAAATTCTATCATAAAAACTTTCTGCTAACATAGATAGACACCTTAAGTTCTATATAATTTTTCAATCATAACTTATTTCCTCTCTTTATTATATTCTTAAAGGTTAATTGAAGGCTGTTCTTGTATTACACATTAATGCATAAATGAACATTTCATCACAGAGGAGTGAAATCAGAAGTCTCATAAACTTTGCATTACGTGGCAGTATATTAGTATGCAGCTTCTACCTATTTGACGAAACATGGCAACTGTTTAACAATGTATGATTTGGTGGTATAAAGTTGAAAAAACCCCCAGCATTTCTGTATTTTTTAAAAGTAGAGATTTATCCAAGCACTTCATTACTGCGAAAACTCTTATTGCAACTCTATATATTTTTCAATATTAATCAGCTTCAGCTTTTCTGTTTCTGTATATCAAATTAAAATTACTATACATAATCAGAATCTTTATCATCCTTCTGGACTCTTACATAATTAAGTAATTATATTAATTAGTGGCAAATTAAATAAGGCAAGAATCTGTCAGTCTAACTTGGACTGAGAAATATTTTATTTCAGAAACAATTCTAACAAAGTTAAGCTTAATATAAATTAGATTAGGATCCCTAAATATGCTATGATCCCGCAAGAAAATATGTACATTTGGTTTATTTTTATTTTCATTATTTACTAAATTTTACTTCACTTGTAACAAGAATTGCACAGTTAATAGGCTAAGCTTACCTTGAAGAAAACTCAGCTGTAAATTGTAATAAGGCATCTCCTTCATTTTCAGCATTTTCTGGCACTTAAAAAAATGAAAAAATATAAATTAAATGCAATCTTATGGAAACAGATTTTAATATGCTAACTCACTTTGCTTCATGGATTTTTTTATGTTGACAGCTTACTGAAGTGGTTACCAAGAGACCATATAAATTTCATGAAAGACTGTCGACTACGAACCTTTGGAAAGATGTGAAATTTCCAGACACTCTCATGAATATATTCAGACGTTCCAAACAGTAAAATCCTCAGGTCCACTGTAATGTGATATATCACTTGTTCAGAGTTAACGCTCTGGGACTTACTTTAATACATTAAAATGAAAGGGCTGGCTTGAAAGGCTTGACCCGCTATATTGCTAGTTACTTTTCTTTTCTTCTTTCCTTTTTTTTTAAACTTCCAATACATAATGTTAAAAAGCTTTCCATACTATTACATATATTTGCTGTCAAAAAACTTCGAAGGTAATAACAGTAACACGAGCCTAAAGTAAATAAAGAGTATACAGAATTGCATATAGGAGGTAACTGACCGCTCCTGCTCAATCCTTTTCATAATTCAAGGGCAAATAATCACAGAGAAACTTGTTTAATGTAAATGACTAAAAATATTAATCACCATAAGATGCTGAAGCTAAAATCTGCAGAATTTTCCCAACAGGGAAGCGGAAATCTAGTTACCTACAGGAACATTTGGTTAGAGATTGTAACTTCTCTGAGTTTAATTATTCTTCTCCAACTATAAGCTAAAAACATAAGGTTAAAAAACTTCCTCCATAGGGAGACGCTTTCATATTTACCAATTATGTTTGCAGTATTTTCATTTGATACATCCATCAGACATGACACTCAAACAACTCTGACATTCCTATCAAAAGATACTTTCCTGTTTCGTATCATGCAGACCCATCATACCTCTGCCTTCACCACCTGCTGTACTGCTGTAATTGTAAATTAGTCAACTCTTACTCATTGGCGATTTCCTCAAGGCAGACGATGCTACTCCAAACATTTCTCCATCATCAACTCCAAACTCTGTAGCATCTTCAAAGTCATCTCCATCACTGTCGCTAACCATATGAACATCAGTGCATTGCTATACAAAAACAAAAAACAAAATCCACCATAAGCCTCTATTACAGACATCATCTTCAGTGAAATATGAAATACATACATAGTGAAAAATAATTACACATTTCTGCAAAAACACTTGATATACTGCAGTGTTATTTTACTATTTTATACAGCATTATCAGACTGCTTTTTATTAATAAGAACTAATTTTTAACAGAAGTCTGGTTGACAGAGCAATATTATGTGACAAAATGCATTATTAAATCACTAAGGAACTGTCTCTGTGTAAACACAGTTGAGCAAATTTTATCCAAAGTTAATGCTGTTTTCCATCTAACAGTACTACAGCTGGTTTAACTGCATAAAAGAGAGTGAGAAAAGCCACACAATCTATCAATAATTTTAGGCATCCAGATACACTCTACTTTAGCAATACTTGCATGGTGGGGGACAGCCCTTAGAAAGGTACTTACCTATTTATCATATTGCAGTCTCTGACGTACAAATTTAGCACCCATAGTCCTAACTTGGCACACCAGACTACTGCATGTTGAATGACAGGCTGATTTATTTAGCATACTGATATAAAGGAGAAAAATCAACATTTTTGTGCAAGGAGTTAAGGTCCCATCTGTGCCTCCAACTCCCACAGTCAGATCTTTTGGATTTCGTGTCCTCTCAAACATAAAATAGCTCAGAAAGCCTTGTTTTTAACTAGTCAATGTTAACGTGCCTCTAAACTGACTTCTTTTCATGAACAACTATTCCAGCTCCACTTGACCTAGGAGTCACGGTGGTAGTACACTACAGAAAATTTACATGAATCCCTGAAGGTGCAACAAAGTGCATTATGGAATGTGGGATTTCAGCTCTAACATGCAAGTGACCACGAGAGGAGCAGAGAGCTCCAAACATGCTGGATCTCTCCCTACAACAGCTACACATTAAGAACTTCAAATAAAGAACATTTTCTGAATGAGTGAGTCCACAAGAAAATTCTACAAGGTGGACAAACTCAGATAATTTTGAAAGAGTGAAGTAAAGAAGCAATGATACAGTTATGCGGGCAGATCCCAGGGGAAAACAAAACATCTATTTAACCTGCTAAGTGGTTCAGGTACAGCTAGAACAGCATTGCCTCACTACCCTCTAATTTTTAACAGCTATCCAACAGCATATATCCAGGCTTGCATCCTGACCATACCTCACAGCTACTTGTTGCCAACTCAACTGAGCTGAACAGATTGGAACACATCCTTTTTGTGCAGCAGTATAAACCTTATGTGCTGAAGTCGTCTACATAAAATGTAAGAAAAGTGTGTGGAAAATGGGAAACTGCTTATATTAAATTCATTCTGAGGAAGAACAAAAGCATTGGAAATTTTAACCCAAACTATTAATAGTTAGAAACAACAAAATGAGAGTTTATACAGTCTGCAAACATCTCTTTCTGCTAATCCTAAAAATATACGTTTCAGCTTTCTGTTTAATTTGGAGTATTTTTCAATGCTTAGTAACTTGGGGCTTGCTTACTTTGTTTTGCCTCTTTTTCTTCAATGACTCATTTACCCTTTGTCACAATTACATGTTACAGGAATTGTAAACTGATTCTTTTAAGATACAATTCTACTGACACATTTGACAATAGAAGGGACGGTGACCATGGCAAAATGAGCATTCCCTGCTTCCTCCTAGAGTATACTTGTTAAATAGAGATGATATTCTTACCTCCTCTGACTGTTCCCTTGTTTGTACAGGTGAAGATCTTCTTCCAACTGTAAGTCGATGGCAAGGAAAAGTCAGTCCCGATACAGCTAGAGTCATCTACAAACAAAGCAATGATCATTTATTAAAGCCATAGTCTCAATTGAGGGTTGTTTTTTTTTTTAAGGGTGCTTTGAGATTCAAACTGAAGTCTGCATTGCAGAAGACCAAATTAATTATACAAACATAAAGAAAGAAGCCTGGAAAACTAAAATGACTCCTCATGTAAAAATATTCAAAGAAACAACAATGGAGTTTTACAGGTATGCATGCACAGAGTATCAAAACAAACTAAACAGAATTACAAACTCAAAACTGTCTCGAATTGTTATTATCTGCTAAATCAGTACTGAAGTTTAAACCATTATTTGTACATGATAACTTTTATAGTGGTATGCCTTGATGAAGTGAATGTACATTTTTCCTTCCTAATCAACCAGCAAATGTTAAAGTGAAGATGATAGGTACCGATACAACTAATTAAAATCAGTTAAGTCATCTTGAAAACCAAAAAATTATCTTGAAAGAACAGTTTCTTGCCAGACATTGTAAAAGACACAGTCACAGTGGCTACTTAAAAACACGTTTCATCTCCATCTTGGTCATTATTAACGTCAAATGCACATGCCATGTTTCTCACATGAACAAGGACATACACAAACCCAGCAATGCTGGTGAAATTGCAGTCGGCAGAGACAGGATAGATGTTCATTAACCAGTACCAACAAAAACTGCACTTTTGCCTGTTGCTGTATGCCTAAACCTCAACTTTTTAAAACTAACAAGATAGCAAATGGAAAAGAGCTAGCGTCATTTGAAAGACAAAATTATTAGAAGCCTGCAAATGCACAACAATAATATTTGAAGATCTGAGCCTGCACTGCATTTTAAAATGTACTAATCGATATGACTAAAAATGAGAATTGTCCACTCTACTATGATCAGAATTGTCTGTGCCATCCTTGCATTTCAAGCACCCTTCATGCATTTCTTTATACAGTGTACGTGTACAACCGGCCTACTACCCTCTTCTGGAAAGTGAATCACTGCTGGTCAAATGGTTGATTACCACAAGTAGAATCTTCAGAAGCAACTAAGCCCTATCTTGATAACATGTGGGCTAAATTTACAATGTGAATAGCTGTTAAATAAAGATGGCCAATTCATTTTTGCAATGACAAAACATTTGATGCTGTACAATTCTTAGTGACATCGAGAAAGATAGTTCTGGCTGCATGTTTAAAATATTGTTTCTAATGGTTCCTTCAGAAGAAACACAGAGAGGGCAGAAAAAGATTTTCTAGATCCTATAAAAATGATTACTATTTTTGCGGGGCACAGAATAAGACACGTTATATGTTTCAGAAATACAGCATCCTCCTAATTAGACTGTAAAAACATTAAGGTAAAATAAATTTCAATCATCCTTACCAAAACCCCAAGAATAAATCATAAGCCTTAAAATTCATTTACTGCCATGAGCACTGAAAATACTCCGTTTATTTTTATACATAATTCAGAATGACTTTATCACTTGTCTGCTAGAACTCACAAAGATTTAATTTGCTGCAGGTTGAAGCAGGCTGATTAAGCGGGCTGGTTACCAAATGAATGTTAACCTGTCTGAACTAGCCTACTGTCACATTCTCATAGCAAGGTTAAACAGAAGTTTAGCTGCATAAAAAGCCTAGCTATCGTCTTAAAGGAAATGAGTTATAATACTCTGGAGCAAATGAAATATTAAAGACGACATACAGGTCAAGACCAATTACCTATGAAACTCCTGTGACAAGACCGTAAGAACTGTATTCTCTGTAATAATCCACCAGTTTAATTAGTATTTTTATACGCTTTTAATAATAAACAAAACTCAACTGTTATAAAACCTGAAACTTTGCCCTGATGTTACCACACTATACAAAATACAGGCAAAACTCACACACACGCAGCACACTAACCACACACAGACTGAAGTTCCCTATCTAACAGCATCAAATACCCTGACAGATGCCTGGAAAGGTTCCTGATATCTTTTACATACACATTAAAGAAAGAGTGGTAAGATCAAGCAAGCAGTTATTGTGCCGCTTCATCACTTGGCCCAATAGCAGGGTGTTGCAATTCCAATTTGCAACCCTATATTATAGTGTCAAAGCGTCTCTCAAAAATGAGCTAACAGCAGAAGGGGTTCGACATCAGAGCACAATTCATCCTACTCCCCAGACAGTTGCTGGAATGTTGTGTTTTTGTGCACATTTATGTGAGAAATTGCTCTCCACTTTGGCTTTTTTTGAGAAGTTTTTTGCAAAGGAAAGGCTAGGACAAATAGAAGCTCTATCTTTCATTTCAAAATAATCTAGCAGCATGAACATTTCTCTAGAATTAAGTTATTTTCATTCTAAGATAAAGGAGAGACTCCTCTCTCAAGAGAGACTCTTGCATCAGAAAGTTTAATCCTTATTTTGGAAATCATGAAAACATCAACACTAAGAAAACACTTTCTAGGCAGCTTAGTCCAGTGCCATGGATAGCAAACCTCAACTTTTACAAATATTTTGAATATAGGCCAATTTACTGATGGGAGCAGCTGCTGAAATGTCTCAGTGGCAGAACTCTTTAGATGTTGGGCTGCTCTTGGAGAGTTTTTTCTTTCTAAATACTGCATCTGCCTACTCCCAAACAAGATTGCAGTACATTAGATATACAAATCGCTGTGTCGCAGCCATCTTCCCATGGGAATGGACAAAATCTTTTTACCAACTCCAAAACTGAAAATGCTGGTTTGTAGCCTGAGTACCTGACTACCCATATTCTCAACTCATGAACCCATCTGATTGGGTAAACACCCAAAAGTCACTAACTTTTCAGAATATTTTCTTTTTCTGCATGACAGTCACCGTTATGCCAGTACTATAGCTTGAATTGCATGGCTTTCATGTGCACAAGAACAGACATTGAAAGATGCATACGCTGGACTCTTGGCACCAATAATGAGCTAGATGTAGATTATGAAATAAATAATACATTAAAGCAAAAATAAATGAGGTTAGTCCATTTTTCTAGGCAGTAAATGTACACATGTGCAAATCCCTACTCAAAAGGTCTCACACCTGAAAAGTACATGAGGTGGGAAGTGAAACAATCAGAAATAGGCAAAACAACTTGCAAAAAGTAACTCAAGATGATTACTGAAAAGCCAGATCTCTTGTCCAACACTGTGTATAGACTGCTCATGCTTGTTGAAAGTTTCAGTCATCTCCTATCTGGCTTCCTATAGCTTTTTAAGGAGAAGAACAATAAAATTGAAGCCTTGAAACATTCCAGGGAGAGCAGCAGCAGGAGCGTCCTTTTAGGAGACAGCAGAGATATTGAACAGATTGCCACTGGTGTGCAAAAAGGTAATGGTATGACCTGGACCAGAAGTGCACAAAGGATACTTGAAATATATTTTAACTACTAAACAAAAGACCGCTACCAAAGCTTACAATTTAGAGAGGGGAAAAAAAAAAAAAAAAGAGTCTAATGCTCACTTGTGCTTTCCAGCACTAAGACACTGAATTTATTTGTAAACACTCAGTGTAAGATGATTTGTATTTCAACTGCTGGCATTAATAATTGGGGGATAAAGTTAAGCAACATCTTTTCTGATCCAAGCATGTAGGATTCTTTTACAGGAACTTCCCAGATCAGCCTAGAAATATTTGCCAAATCCGGAGTGAGACCAGGTGCTTAAACAATAGATTATTCTTCCTGTTAGTGTAATTTTTATGTAGAAGCTTCTAGAAATATCCTTTAGAACAATCTAAAAATACTATTTTTTTCAAATATTTCAGGATACAAATACATCTACAGCAGGGAAAGTAATCACTGAGAGCATGTAACTCCAGAGTGCTGCTGTTGCACACTCAGAGTAATAGGAAAAATTATGAGCCCAATAATCTCACAAGCTTGCAATCTTCTAGAAAGAGTTTGTTGGCACAACTTAATTGCCACTCTTACAGACTTCTGAAATTACAAAGGAAGGAGCAAGCTCGGTCTCTTGTACCAGTCCAGAGATATTTAATCAAGACAGTTAAGATCTGAGAAAGATAAACAGTAGTAGAAACATGAAGGAATGATACCAGCAGAGAACTGCAGCTGCAGAACTCTCTCCACTTCGAAATGCTGATACAAAAATTGTAAGCTCTGTGTGCATCAGGAAAGTAGTAACTGGATATGACAAATTGGTCTTCCTCATATTCAGCCATGTGCTGATGGAGAAAAACAGCACTTCAAAAGAGCTTCTAATGGCAACCATTATCTAATGAGGACAGTATAAAGGTAAGCTCTAAGAGCTTTCTAATACCTTACAGAATATAGGTGGACATCCAAAGTGGCCAGCTTAAAGCAATAACCTGTAAAGAACTGGACCTTCTTCCTCATCCTCAGCTATCACAGTCATTTTGGAAACGCTCACTCTGTAATTACAGACACAAGTCTCTCCAGCAATCCAGTACTCTGAATAAAATACTAAAACAACTCTTCTTGCCACTAACCTGCCTGTACTTAAGTCAGAACAAACTTTAGAAAATAAATTATGGCAGGAAAACAGGCAGGCCCTTGAAGCACATCATTTACAAACTTATCCATTAGGCCTGTTATTATCATCTCAGTGCTTGTCGTTGCAAAGTATGGCCTTTCCAGAGGGATGAGATGGAGAATGACCTGCCAAATTGCTGCCAAGAGAGTCAACAATCTTTAGTAGAACAGCTTCCATATCAGCTAGCTCTAGAGCAAATCAACTCCCTACCATGGTCATCAACAGCAGGAAACTTCCCCAGGAACTCCAGAGTTTCACAGGTGCAGTAGGCAAGACAAGGCTGCAAAACATGTCACCTTGCAGAAGATGAGAGCCGCAGATACGTAATGGACCTGCTTTGGCATGACTTGGGAGGTTGTGCTGTTCACAGGATACTTGTCATCAAGGGATCCCTTTTCTCTAAAAGGATGCAGCTTTTTTAACAAGACTATTGAAAACAAGCAAGCATAAATGGTAATGTTTAAGGAAAGTAGGAATATCG